TGATGGTTTATACCTCCCCGACGGAATTCAAACGGATTCCACATAGAAAACGTACACACTGTTATTGTTATATTTTCTGTTGTTCTAAGACTCAAGGTCACCGCCAATTCCGTAGTAAATTACACACGTGTGTACTTGTTTTCCAACGTATTGTGTACCTACCACGCATGCGGTGTACATTATGCGTAATACGCCACTGCCGAACGCTGTGCAACTGCGACCGCTGGATCCACCACACTGACCTACAGAAATTGCCTATTGTGAATTGGATATAGGCCCGCGCGAACATCGAAACAATGGCCGTGTAATTAGGAGGTGCCTACGCGTTGAATAATTAACGTTTGAATAATTCACGTGCAGGCTCGTGCGCGGAGCCGAATACGTACAGTTGTGCGGCCCTGGCAAGTTACTGTGTTACTTAACACGGTTTACTTGTGTAATGTTACTTAACCAAGTTACTGTGGAAAAGTCGGCGGGCCGGGCGAAATTCCGACCGATCGAGTCAACAATTATGGGCCGATAATAATTTTGTGAATGTATCCACTCAGAGGTCCGGCTGTACCTTCCCTGTTCGGCGCAGAATGTCGCACATGCACTGTTGAATTATTCATTCGGGAAAACGGTGAGATGCTTCAGATCGACGTACCCATTTTTATGATTTTCTCCTAATCAATGCTTGACTTGAAGGAGGTCGCAGGGGGACGGAGTACCTCAACTAATTTTCAGAAATTTTAACGTCCCCCTACTATAATTACGTTATAATTATAACGCTTAACAAGTCTTGGGTACGATATTCTCTTTAAAGTAAACGGAGTCCCCTTTATTTAATTTTGCCGAGTCAAGCACTGCTCCTAATATTTCACAAAATAGAATTAAACAAAATGGACACACAAAGACCAACGAAAATATTTATTTTTTATAAATACAACATTGAAAAGGAAAAAAAAAAAAATGGGAAAAACGATGTAGATTTGATGTTTCGAAAATCCTTATCGCTTCGATCCAAATCGATCGGTAACGTTGGAAATTGAAAACGTTTAAATCCTTTTGTTACGGTGTCATGGACACAGACGGAAAACCATGGCTCGCAATCCCCTCGGCGCTGTATCATTAATATTACGATCACTGCACCGTAATTATTGTTCTCGTGAACGTTGTACGGAATGTTTTCGGACACGCCGCGCGTATCAACGCATAACGTTTGTAAATAAATAACTGTCGCGACCAACAGCCGACCGTTGAACGAAATCAGAACTAATCAAAAATACCCGAGCGTAATGAAGACGTTCGATATTTTTAAGGGTGATTTCTAAACGGTAAACCGGTCAGACGGAGGTTACGGGGCACGCGTATCCCGGATATTGTTTTCCATTTGCGCACCTATAATGTTGCGAGCAGAAAAAAAAAAATACAATCGATTTCGCGCGTTCGAATTTCGTACGTACGAGTACCGTTACTCGATTTGCGTTGAACGCAGCGAACAGATGTCTGTCCCGCGCACACGCTACGGCGGTTCTTTTCTCCTTACCGGAACGGGAAAGGATAAAAAAAAAAAAAAATTAAATAATAATCGTTCTTTTCGTCATCTCGCCGTGCCCCAACCCCGTCGGTACACTTTGTTTTGCGGCACAGGTCGGTCAAAACTACTCGGGTAATTCGTGTCGATTGAATGGCGTTGATGCGCGCGCGTCATGGTGTCCGTTTGCATGTGCAACGTGTACTCGTTGTGTACACACGCGCACGCGCTTCGTTTCCTGTACGACCCACATGGCCATAAATATACGCGTTGAAATAATACAATGGCCCGTAAACGACGAGCACAGCGTATGAATAACAATGTGACGACCGTGTACAGACGTTTTCGACGTGCTGACCGATACAGGTAGGCGCCCGGAAGGTGTACCGTACATTTGCGCCGGAGATCAATTGTTATTATTATTATTTTTTTGATAACACTCGCGAATAATTCTCGATTGACGGACGACGACCGTTTTACGCGTGATCGCGTTTCCGATAGGTCGCGAATCATGCACCGGTGCGCGTATGCCAAACACGCGTTATCAGCGGCGTATTTACCGGGGAGTGGGGTGATTTTGGGGATCAATCCCCCCCTCGTCTCTTCTTTTACCCTTAGGAACGTTTTAACGGACTAAGCACTTTTATCAGTTTATCGGACAATAGACATAAATACTGATGAAGTAATCGATGAACTAGCAACTAAACAAAGAAAACTCGATTTCGTATTATAATCGCAAATAATAAATAATTATAATAAAAATAAATATTTATAGCGCACAAAGAGTAAACGATTTTTATTCCGTGAATAAAATATTATAGGTACTGCATTTAGTGAATATTTTTTTTTTCTAGCTAGAATTCATTTTATTAATCAATTAATTAAATTGGTCGAGTAGTATAAATTAAAACGCAGTAGGTACTTCGATTTTTCCGCAGCCAAGTGGAAAATCAGTCGAATCATAATAGTTGATATGTTTTTTATAGAATCGCGTGTGAAACGGTGGTTTGTTTCTTCGAGTAAATGTCACGCGTGACGAACAAATGTTGCCGTGTACATTATGAACAATAAAAAATTATAAATCGGTTGATTCAGGATCCAAATGATAATACTTCAAGAATAAACGAGCGTTTTTTTACACAATTAACACGAAATTCCTGCCCTCCGTAAGCGTTTTAAATTCGAAATGTTCTACGAACTAACTCGTAAACCGAGTTCGAACCGAGGTAACGTTTTAGCGCGATGCGTCAACCAACATTACAGAACCAACCCGAATCGATCGTTTCCATTTTTATCTATTTGGTTACATCGTTGAAACACACACGTCACGCACGATCGCGATCCGGATGCGTATCGACAACGACGTCGTCAAAAATACTATTATGCATCGGTATGATATTCTATGTTACACGCGATCGCTACGAGATATTGAATACAACAATTTGCGCGGCATAAAATCGGTTCTTCGTCGGATAGTGCGCGCTACGGCGTGGTTCAAAGAACCCTTTTTACGTTATAAAATATGACATTGAACGCGTTTGCGGTGTACCGTTATTACATACATATACGAGTATATATGTACATGGTGTAGATTTTGGCGCGCGTCGTCATCGAAACGTACGTAATTTTCGCTCGAAGCAGTGCACTTTTCACCGGGTGACAAACCATTTTTTTTTTTTTTACTCAAAACAGTCAACGTACAATACAATGATGGTTGTATTTGATTTTTGCTCTGCATAATTTCGCTCGGTATTTCATTATACTATCAACTAGGCGACAAGATATTTTCACATTTGCTTCACTTAGTCAACTAATTCAAAAAACGCAATGGGTACAAATCAGGTCACTTTGTACACCATAATCGAAATTCGCACTGATGCTGTGTAAAATACTGTTTGACTGCGGACACGCTTCGTACACACGTAATCCATCGACCCTGGAAACCTTTAAAAGTTAGTGTATAACTACAGATAACTATCAATCCTTGTAAGATATTTTAAATCAAGTACATGACAAAATAGTGATATACTGATTTTATAAACATTTTGTATACTTTGCTAAAACATTGATTTATAAAAATACGTATTATTATAATATAGTTATTGATTTGTCAAAACGGCACTAGTAAATTTACTTATATGAACCAGACATTCTAATTTATTAAAGTTCATACGTCGCTCCGCCACATATGAAAACGCGGTACGGTTTACAGTGAAGCAATTTTGGTTGCAGGTTAAGCACAAAAAAGGGATTGTACGGTTAATTCTACACCGAACGCTCATAGTCTTGATCGGTATTTAATTAGTTTGACCAGTGGTAAATAATTATTGTCTTACAGCCAATAATAGTTATAGTTTAAATTATGATTATACTTAAATATTATTAATAATTGTAAACTAGTCGGATAAATATGAAACAAGATTAAATAACGAAATGATGTGTACTTACATGTGATGTGCGATTTGATTATATCCACTGTAAAGATTACTGATTACTATGGTTACGGTATAGGTTTGTGATATTTATAATTTTTAAGTGGGATGAGAGCATACCAGAAGCATTCCGTATCAATAGATATTATAACATATTATTACAATAAATTTATTTGAGTCTTGGAGGTGTCGGATTATTAGAATGATTGACCTCAAATTCGTACTACACATATTGTATAAGTATGTACTGTATAGTATATTCGTAGAGTAATATATACTTGATAACTTGATAAAGAAACCACAGAAGGATCATGTACAGGATAATGTATAAAGATAATATAGGATCTGTATATATTGAATCGGAATCTGATATTGGCATCTACTAGTTATTATGATCTGTTAGTGAATTATGATTCATTTTCAACCATGTGAATCGTTTCAGATTTATTTTATTTATTTATTTTCATTAATAAAATTATATAACGTGATTATAATCTATACGAAAATACGATATAATAATTAATTTTAATAATAATACGACAGTGAGAAGAACGGCATTTTTAGAAAGCACTTAGTAGTCAGTAGTGCCACCCAAGTTTGATTTCTTTAGATGAGTTCTATAGACCCGAGATTTGAAATCTTCGCGAAAGATAATCAAATAGGTTAGATTGGAAAGAAGATAAACGATTAATGGGATTAAAATGTTATGATGATGAATTGACTTTGAATGAAAATAAAATATATAGAATAACGAGAAGTTATTAATTATGTTGATGTCGATATTTTTAAATCATCTTAGAAGTTTTTATTTGAGATAAACAAAGGTGTGATGACGATTTAGCAAAATAATACGTGGACTAGAAAACTGTTTAGCCATAACTGAATACCGTAAGACCATTAATTTCTAATATTATTACTTTACACTCCACAAATTATGAATAGTTTATTGTACTAATAGGTTTAGTATGGAATAAAAAAGTGGACGATAAAAATATGGTCCTGGGTTGAATAGGTTTTATTAAATCCGTCAGGATTTTATTTTACTTTAAAAATAAAAACTCCATGTCAAACGTTTATTACGAATAACAATTTTTGATGAACATTTGGTAAATATAGTATTCGTGATTAATAGAGCTTTTGATGGCATATTCTTCGGGTGGGATTTCTAATACTGGAATTACGGCGGTTTCTTCATTAGTCCAAAAATGTTTGTAATCGTGCACGACTGTGTACCTAAAACCAGAGAATATTATAATATCATTAATGTATCAAATGTGCGTACATATAAAATAAACGATTCGGTCGCCAAGACGTTTTTGAAATTAACGTGTCTCATTATTTTCATTTGTTTATGAATTCATATAAACAGACCGGCTTAAATCATTATGTTATTATACCGTTATGTTTTTATGCAATTGAATGTGTATTTTTTCTACTGATTGGTGACGAATAAAATATTTTGGAAGTTTCATACGATTTGGGATAATATTATCTTTGGGTGTACTTGGATTTTTACCAAATCCACCAGTAGAATACTGAATTGTTTATTATATAAATATTTTTTCTAATATTTTAATAGTTTCATAAAATATAATATAATAAAAGTTTTGAAAATGATGTCATTTTATATTTAAATGAGTTCCTTACTTAAATATTAATGGACCTTTGATTGAAATTGGAGCCACCCACGTGAAAAAAGCTTTTAATTTATTCTTGTTATTTGAATGAACCACTGCGTTCTGAAAAAAAATGTAATTAATCTTATTATATATCATAGTTAATATCATAATATTTATACATAAATAATCGGATTGATAGATTTGTTTTAATGGGTATACACTCCCTAGTTTATAGTTTCACATTTATTTATAATTTTATTCATGTGAATCCGTAAATTTATCAGATCACTTACTATTACCTGCTATCTGCCATATCATACAAATAAATATATTATTCTATTGGTTTACTTACGTAGATAATCGTGAGAATCTTTCGCACTATGAAAATTCATTAAACTAATTAGCTTTTTTTTTTTAAAAAAAAAGTAAAAACATATTAAATAAAAATTAATAATTTAACAAAAAAAAACCCAAACTTCGGAAAAAATTATGAAATAAAAAAATATGAATACATTTAAATTACGTGTAATAGACTAAAAAGAGAAAAATAAATCTACAATTATTATTAGTATTTATTAAATTAACATTAAATTCCTTTGAAGTAGGGTGCCCTCGATAGTTCAACAATAATAATGATAACCAACACATAGACAGTAATAAATAGATTAAGAATTCGTCATACAAAATTAAAACATGGGTATAGGTTAGAATAGTCTAATAATCAATAACACTAAGTATAACTATTTAAATACGCTCAACAAATAATAATGATAATTTATGTTTTGTATATGTCATTCATATTTTAATGTTAATTGATATATATATATAACTACATGAAACAAATTTAAACAAATAGATAATATAATGATAAATAACATATAAGTAAATAAAAATCTAAGAAAAATAAATAAATCTCACTAATTTAAATTATTTGTATTCAGATTATAATTAGAATAACAATTTATTGCGTTAATAGCACATGAGAAGGGTTGACTCTGCATTGGCACAATTTCAAAATTCAATTTCAGTTGGCTCTACGATGGCGCAACTAAACTTTACAATAATAATAATAATAATAATAATAATACGGCCCGCTGCTTATAATAATAATAATAACTGTTGAAAGCTAAGGCCGACGGACACCGTATTAACGATAAAACGTCTCAGTGCCACCACGTTAAGACTGAAAACAAATGAACATAAAAAAACTTGTTTAAGTTCATTTGACACTCTCTTCGTTTTTGCAATCAATGTCATTGAAATAATTAAATAAATAATATAATAACAATATTATAACGTTACTAATAGATGAAAACTGATGGGAAATCACGATGAAAAACTACCGTTATGCTTTTAGAGTATACGGATACTATGTACACCTAAAATTATACCTAAAAGCTGGTTTTCATTATTCAAAATTTTGTACGCAAACGATTCTCTACCAAGATTTATTCATATTCCGAGAAATAACAATCAATTTACTTTATATAATTTATAATGATGAATGCAAATGTTTAAAATTGCTTTCGGATTTATACAAAGACGATTAACACTATAAAAGACCTTAAACTCGGAACCGGTACTAAGCCATTACTCATTATAATATATACTAAATATAAATTTGAGTTTAAAAATTTCAAATCCGCGACAAGTATTAATTGTTCTTTCACTTTTTATCATTCACACAATGGAGACAGTCTCTGAGAATTTCTAGGAAGATTTTTGGAACTTTCTCCTGAAATAAATATGATATGTTGAATTGTTGACCGATAGCCAAACCAATATAACTTTGATGATGGCAAGATACTGCAGTTCTCTTCTGAATCGAAATAATGAAAATAAAAAATGAAAATATATTATGCTGTATGTGGCGTGTATCTTTACACAAACCGTGAAACGAATACCGACTGATTACAGCTAATACAAGGATCACATATTATCGTATCGTATTTGTTTAGGTGTCGATTAATGTAGACCAAACGGGTCCGTGTGAAAGTCACGAAAAATAAACAGTAAAAGTAACAATCGCGAAAACTATAATAACGAATTTATACGGAATTTATACGAATTTCACTTTAAAATAATTATTGTTAAAATCGATTTTTAGAAAAAACTATTATTCGTATATATTATTTTAATATTAATATATTCGCACAAAGTGAACAAAAATATATTTCAATCAACATTTGATAAAAATTTCCCTTGGTTGATAAAAGGATTACCGGTAAATTTAATAATGAACTTGACGGAAATTAATGACAGAAATTTTAAGACTAGGATTATTTCGATGAAATCGGTGAGCTAAGAACTCATCGCTTTCAATAAGTCCTGATATCGGTCAATACTCAAGGATCGGTACGCACGATGGTAGGTGGGGGAAGGAGAGCGTGGGTCGTGTAGTGAGCCTAAAAAACCGTCGTGTTGCGGGGCATGCGACGATCGAAAACTACTCACGTAGGGCTCGTTGCCTTTGGAACAGCTGATCATGTGCTGAGGCTTGGTGCCCGCCTTGCTGCAGTCGGGTAGAAAAGTGCCGAGCGCGTAACCGTCGGCATCCCTGGCCTGGACCATGAACCCTTTGAACGGTATCGAATCATCGATGGAGACCAGTGTGAGGTTGACCAGGTCTCCGGGCCGCACGGGCACCGTGTCCACCAGCAGCCGGTATGGACAGGGCACGTGCTGCCAGTTCTGCGGCACGTAGCCCGGATGCCGGGGCGTCATGTCTTCGCACGCGATCTTCAGCTCGGAGTCAGGTACCGCCTCGGTGCCGGGGCACGCCGACCACATAGCGACCGCGACCGCGGTCACGACCATCGCGGTGATCGGTCGCGGTGACGTGCGTCGTTCACGTCCTCCGCTCATGACACTGTTTTCACGGTCGTGGCGGGTAGGCTTCACGCACTCGAACAACCCGGGACGATGGAACAGAATGTTAGGGCACAAACCTCCTCCGATTCCTAGTAAACCAAAACACGTGTTAAGGTGAAGTTGTGAAAGAGAAAAAAAAATCCCCACATAGCATAACGAGCGACTGAAACGCAAAGAATCGTTAAGAAAACGTTTGACGGTTCCGCGACGTTTTCCGAGCCCGGTCGTGGTATGAAGACCAGGATACCAGACAATTGCTTTCGACGTACTGGCGGACCGTAATCATATTGTACGTCCAAAAATGTCCGTCGGTAATTCTCGACGTAATTGATACGTGTCTGATTCGGCTGGGCCGCGATGATTCCGCGATCGCGTGCCGTACGCATGCGCATAACACTGTGGTGGTTCGGTTCAACTTCAACGAAATCGAATAAATATCGGATGTGTTTAAGACGAATGAACGTTTTTGGAACACAGTCGACACTCTGTTCAACGAAACCCCCCTAGTAGCAGGGGTTTTTTTTTTTAGCTACATTTTCTTAACGTTTCCCATAAAAAAATAAAAACTATCTACGAATTTATTTTTTACGGTACTATTTTTCTGATCGTACGTGATCAAATTCGTATTTCGGAGCTTTTGAATGTTTGGTAAAATAAAATTTCGAAAAAGAGACAATAAGCTGTTTTTCATACTGTTCGTTGAGCACTACAATGTACTCGTATAAATAATACGTTTACTATCATAAATATTGATTATTCCTGTACAATCTGATCATTACACCATTATTTTAATATTATTTAACATGTTACGTAATATTGTTTGTGTTACGGACATACATTAATGATTTCCGTCTAGTAAAAACGTATAATTTAGCGAAAAACTTGTATGTGTTTATTTCACCAAATTTATAATTGACAATTTATTTTCAAAAAAACTGTCAAGTTCGTAAAAATATAAAATTCGTTGAAATATAGAGGTTCGAGTGTATATGTATTTGGCGAATAAAATATAGTAAGTAATCTGCATGACCATCAGCAGTATTGTGATTTTTTTTACACGTAGAAGTGCATCTTTTACTTTAATGCACGCCGCGTTTATTTTCAGATACTTATTGAAAGCATAACGTTTACTGCAAAGATTAAAATTTAATTGATTCTACAATGAATATATAACATCTAATTTCTTAAGAATTCGGGTATAAGTGGAATTAATATATTTGAATACATTCAACTCTTGAAAATAAAATTAAATGGATTATTATTATGTATGATTTGGTTTGTTAGACCCGTGAATAATTTGATCTCTTAGCTAAAACTGTAGATCCACAATGAAGTTCACAGGTCAAATTTTAACAACAATAAGCTAAAGAATATTAAGACATGATTTTTAATGATAACGCGTACTTCACTAGGCTAAAAAATTGCTACTTTTACCGATCTTTTAAATATAATATTAATAATTAACCGTGTGTATGTGATTATACAATAAATAAAAAGATAACTGTAGTTCAATTAAAATTTACTAATTAATACATTATAACACATATATATGTAACATAAATTATAAGCGTTATCATTATACAAAATGTTATATTAATTTTAATTATTAATGAAGGTTAATCAATTGTCAAAATTATAATTATTGATTAGAGTTTAAGAATATTAAACATAACAATATGAGGACAGTAAATACAGCGACCGAAGAAACATAACGCGAAGGTCAATGATACTATCGCTGCGAAGTAATCTCACTGAAATTAAATTAATATGACCGTAGATTAACAATTTATTTTAAACAATAATGATTTAAAAAAATATATTAAAAATATTAACGAAAAAGAGATAATAGTTTATACATCGTGTTTATCCGGTCTACGGCTCCCGTAAATATGTACTGGTTGGCCGAACGGAGTCAATAATATTTTCAATAATCTTGACTAGATTTTGCTGTTTCAGTTTGTTAACTGCATTGATCCATAAAAAAAAACGCTTATACTTGTTAATTTTTAATTTGCTATTACGTGTTTTTCTTATTACATATATACTATGATTACACTTGGTCAATTTATATATTTAGTATTTTCTAAGCATAATACTACGTACCTTATCATTGCAAATCTATAAATTATTATTAAGTCCTTGGACATATTAATGAGTTATGATTAAATTAAAAGTTTCTAGAGTTATCCCTATTTAATTTTTATTCACATAATTTAATAATTTGTATTGTTATAATATTATATTTATATTAGATTTATTATGTATATGTATATTTATATAAGTCTATTAAGAAAAGTTCACACGGTGGCGGCGCAATGCAGGTTTTATTGTAGCTGCTGCTTTGTGAATAAAATGAGATGGGTAGGTAATGTTGTGTGACAGAATAGCTTAGTACATAATTCGCACTAATAGTATTTAATAAAATTTTGTTTGGATCCGTTAATTTTAATATTTACTCTGAATCTAGAATTTTGACATGTGATGGGTATTCGATTCACGTAACTGCTTCGATGAAAAATAAACTTCGCGTCGCCACTGAGTTCACATGTATACCGCGTAGGTACAATGTATTCGTTATATAATTATATAATAATATAAAATACTGTTGTTATGCCGTATAATTTCATTATGAGCTATTGGTCGAGCTCTCATGTATTAGATTTAGACAACAATTTACAAATAAATATGTCTTTATATAGTTTGCATTATACACCAGCCAACAACAATACATTTTGGTGCCTCGTTCAATTTAATTTCCATTAATTTTTTTTATTAATCTTATGATATTTCAAATTCGTACAAAAAATAATTATATAATACAGATAATATAATAAATATTGCAGGTATATTAATTAAACTACATTATAATTTCTTTGGGAATTTTCTTTTTCTTTTAATACCTCCTAAATCTGATTTAATAATATTCAGTTAATAATCTGTTAATGATAATCATAGGTAATAATTATCTAACTTTTATAACATGCCATATTTGAAACATTCTAAATATTTTAAAAATAAAACTTAAATTAAAATAATAGGTCGAAAATTCTAGATCGAATGAGTAGTTTCGCTGTATTGGTTTCTTACACTTGAAAGAATAATAAAAAATTTCAATAATAACCACTTCTAACTATTAACTAGAACCCATTTTCTATATTTTACTTTTTATTTGATGATGATGGAAGCAATGGTGGTCGAAATCGTGTACTCAGAAACAACAAAAAACACACACATTTAAAACAATAAAAAAAGAAAACGCACATATTTGGTAAAACCAATTCATTCCTCCTCGTTTCACTCAAGATCTAAAATTAATCGCACAAAATATATTATTGTTATTTTAGTATAATATAAAATGTATCTATTTATTTTAATTGATTAAAATCTATTTAGTTTACTACAGTTTATGCAGGTGATATTGAGTTTAAATTTCTTAAATTACAGTAAAATTTCAACAATTATTTAAAAATTAAGAGTACAATGTTTGTATGGTTAGGTTAATATAAAGGATAAAGTTACCGATTTGTCCAAAAGAAATAAGAACACTTGGCTTCACTTATGGCTTCTGAAATCCGACTTCTGACGTTATTAGACGAGTGTTAATATTGTGATGGATGTATAATTATGAGTAGGTACGTTTAAACAACGTTCGACTGATTTAGGAGAAAGAGTAAGCAAAAAAAAAAAATAGTCAATTCAGCTTTAAAATTTAAACTTATAATGAATTAGTTCAAATAAAACGTGTTGTTAAAATTACGATTATATAGGTAAATTATAAATCTGAGATCAAAGTTCATAGTTTCGTCAAACATAGCTACTGTAATCGACAGCTCTAAACTACCGGATAAGCTTTTTTTTTATATACAATTACATTTTACTTGAACACATGGTGTATTGACACAAAAAGCCTAGTGGCTATAAAATCATTAAATTAGTATTCATCTCAGTATAAATGGATAAAGAATAATTTGTAGTTTTCCATTTATTTTATCTTCTCGGTTTTTAGAATTGTATTTATGAATATTAATCAACTTCATAATATGAATATCGTTATATGAAAAAAAGTGCTTTAAATACCATAATATTATTGATAAAATACCTGTGTTTTATAGTAATATGTACTAATGTATAATGTCGATAGATGACAATCGTTACACTCTATAGTTAGGTTGAAAAAAATATGAATTCATTAAAAGCATATATTAAAAACTTTCCGTTGTTAACGAACTTTTTTTTTTTGAAATGACAACTCAACAAAACAAGATTGGTAAGTCCCCATATGAAGATAGAAAAATAAATGCGTATTTCTAACGTAAGGTGTTAGCGCTGCAAACATCTACATGTCATTGTTTTGTTGTTGTGTTATCATTTTCGCGTAACGTTACGTCCGTAGTTGCAGCAATGGTGGTGATGGTCAAACTTGACGAGAAGGGGGAAGGAAAGAGATGATCCTCGTCGGGCCCGGAAATTAGGGACTACAAATTATTAAAAATTAAACACAATTAATGATAAGAATTTAATGAACATTGTAGAAAAAATTAAGATATACCCCCGGGCATGAGTCTCTTTCTCCACGGATCTGGTAGTGGTATCATATCTCCATGCGTTACCCGCCAGCCATGTTTTCATTATCGGTTACGCGTCAATGTGTTCGATTTCATTAATTTCATTACGTTTTAACGTGTCGTTCTAGTGTCACGGCAGTTTTTTAATTTGCATATATTCATTGGTTTTTTTGTAGTGTGCAGTGATAGTGGTCGTCGGCAACGGTATCGGTCCTTGCAACTTTCGTACCGGTTGCTGCTGTTTTGTCGTTTTTCGCATGTCAACGTGTGCACACCGCCATTTTGTCCCACCATTTCTTATTATCTTCAGCAGAAACCACGTGTTGTGAATTTGTTGATTTGGTTTTCAGGGTGTTTTTAAAAGCTGGCAGCCATCGTGATTTCGTAGTTTTCGCAAATTATTAGTCGCTCATTGTTGCAGACTCGTGAATTTTTCGTCTGTGGCCGTGGTTTGGTGGTCGTTGGGTTGTGCACTTTTAATTTGCATTCAATTATCATTATTTTAATTTCATCCCCCGGTGTGG